GGCCTCTCTACCGGAGGAAATTGGTAGAAGTTATCAAATTCAGTATAGACAGAACAACTAGTCCTTTTTGCAACACGCATAGTTCACCCGTCTCAGATTTCGTTTCTTTCCGAAGAAAGAGATAGGTACTAGGCGTTCGTCCAACTTCAGGATCACCCCCACGTAAGGGCGCCTTGACACCTACTGTGGTCTGATTTATGTGAATTCATTTCACCGACGAGCTTCTGGGGCCTAAACCAGTGTGATCCTTAGGCCCGGTTACTCATGGAAATGGAAGCGAGACGTCAAGTGGAAAGAGTAATTTATTCTGTAGAAAAGTAATCGGGAATAGGTAGTAGGAAGTTGGCTGTTAGACGAGTGTAGGCCTGCATCCGAGTGTGGCAGTCCTCACAGCGGTCAGAGCGGTCTTTGTGTTTATCTGCCTTGAAGGTGATTGGCGAGACTTATGGAGGTAGTCACCAATGTATCTGCATTTGCTAGTAGCCCTGCGAGGAAATAGTTCGCGCGGAGAGGGAGAGGCCGAGAACTGCAATCGCGTGACCTCATACGTGGTTTGGCTTGGTTGAAGGTGTTACAGAGTCACTACAGAACTACTATAGTATATATTCTAAGTTTCTTTGCAATTTTTCATCCGACTACTATAGTATTGATGAAGAGAGAGCGCTGTTTGTGCCCCTTCCTCACATCCGAATTCCCCCTTTTTCTGCTTCACAGACCAGGGATGAACTGCGTGATGCTCTAGAGAAGGAGGTGGGCGAATTTCATCGGGAGTGTGACTACTTCTCATTCAGTCGCCTTGAGGAACCCACACTGGGTGATTCCGCCGAGGCCTTTGATACTAGCAATCTAGCGACGGAGGAGCAACCTGCTACCCGCGGCGACCCTTTCGGTTGTCAGTCGCCTGATCAGGGTGTCGATGTGGCCGCTGAGTGCTCCTCGCCAGATGAACCCACTGACAGCACAGCGTCGCTAAACTCGTCAGCTGTTACTAATAGGAAACAGTCGGATGGCAACTCCACCATGGATCGATTGGAGCATGAGGTGGAACTTCTTATCAAACAGGTACTGCTTTTCATCTCGGTCATGCTTACTTTATTGTTGGAACCCTTTTTGTGATTTTGACTGGGGCTGTTCTTAAGGTCTCGTTCGAGGCTTCAGCTGTCCCTGGCGATGACGATGGCCGGCGATCTTTGCACCGCTTCGAAGGCAGTCTGGCTACTATTGATGTTTGTCTCCTGATACTTATTCGTCAACTGTCCACTTTTCTATGCCAGCGTCTGCATTTGACTTTAGCGTTTCGAGCGGGTATAAGTCCTCCGCCTCTAGCAAATACATCATGCTAAGAATCATGTGCCCGCGATGGATGGAGCAGGCGCTCATTGGACCTCATGTACAGTTAACTCCTGGCGCCCGCAGCTGTCTGTGCTTCGGGGGCTCTGGCCGCTACCGAGGTTCTCTACAGAATGCATGCCTCGGTAACAGCCTATTATAGGTAACATAAGGAAACCAAAATTGTACTTTTGTTATATTTATTTTATTTTCTTTCCTGCACCCCCGTAAATCCCCATCCGTGTGACTCCTGTTGTAATCGGTCCCGCTTTCGTTTTTTTGGGTTCCGTGTTGTCACCTATAATATGCTGTTGCCAAAAGCCGATTCTCCACGGGATCTTGTTGTCAGTGAACTGCGATAGATGAATACGCATGGTTGGTAAGTGTTGTGGTGATCAGTGGGGAAGGCCTGTAGGATTCTGCGGTTATCGTCTATTAAGTTGGTACCAGTGATGGCGCCGGGACTGTTACTAGCAGGTACGCCTACTACAACCTTCCTATGAACGTTAGCATGCCAAACTGTCAACACTAGTGAACGCATACAGTAGCAAACACTAATTTGCCTTTAAAAGTTTACGCCCTGCTCGCTACACGCAAACCTTTCGGGTTCGTTACGCTCCCAGATCAGGCTGCTTCAGCGATCAGGGACAGTCGGTTGAATGCACAAATTTGAACACGTTTTTGTTGACTTCATGTCTTACCTTCCCCCTCCCCCTTATAATTGGACCCTGTTCCGCTTTCACTGGTGCTAACAGCGCCTTGTTTTGTTAATGTCCGCACCCATCTTTAGGCGAACATGGTCTCCTGGAATCACAGTGAATTTCGCGTGCGTTACGCCTCTCTGTCAACTGAACCACAGGTAGCCAATTACTTTCTGCGTTTACTGCTGGAGGAGGACAAA